CCACCTGGATGCCACCCTGTGCCACATGCTGTAGGTGTGCCTGCTTGAGCAGGAAGGTTGGACTAGATGATCTGTAGAGGTCCCTTCCAACCTTAAATATTCTGAAATATTCTGAAATATTCTGAAATTACATTTTGGCTTTCATCTTGTAGGAAGTCTAATTAGATTATCACAGGACCATTTTTTTTTTTGGTCTTAAATTTGGTGAAATGTCAAAAATACAAAACTACTGGGATAGTAGAGTTCAGCAGTATTAGTATGCTACATTTGACCCCTCTTTTGGCGAAAGAGAAAAGCATTGCCATAAATACAGCAACGTTCTTGATCTCTGCAGCTCAGAGCACGAATGCTCGGAGTTGGAAGGCCTGTGAGGGAAGACAGATGAGAACTAAGTCAAACAGATAGGTCCTAAAGGCATTTACCTTTCTCGAGGCTGATAGGCTCAGCTAAGTGCCTTCTCCTAAGACAGATGGAGTGTAGTTGTCCACATAACATTGATTTGTGCAAAAGACAAATCCTTAGCCAAGCCTTACCAATAATCAAGGACTGGGAAAGTGGAAAAACCCCCACTCTCCTCAATATTTAGCTTGTTTTGAAAAGGTGAGACCCCAAAATATTTATCAGGAAAACTCCAGAGAAATTGTATATGTGTATCTTCACACTGTGGACAGTTCTGTGATAAGAACTGATTAGGCTCTTACACAGATCATCTCATCTGTGAATATATGCAGACAAAAGAAACAAACAGGCTAATGTTTTTATTTGAAAATAAACACTAGAAGATAATTTTGTAGAAAGGAATAGAAACTCCATTTTCTGCAAAAATTTGCCTTGGTTTCCAGTTTGGCTCTGGAAAGAACATTAGATCCAGCAGCCCCATCATACAGAATCTTCCAGATTTTGTAAGAAAAAAACAAAACAAAAAACAAACAAACAAACAAACAAAAAAAAAACCAAATAAACCCCCCACATGTTAATACTGTTGCATCTTCAGCTGAGTAGGTGATTAAGTTCATAACTCTCCAGCAGCTCCTTCTCCACGGGTGTGTCTCCACGCCCTCCCTTGGCGCAGGAGGGTTGTTCACATTCTGCACCTGTATCTGAGGTGGGCGCACCCCAAGGGACATCCTGGTGCACGTGTGACAACTTTGCCATGTGCAGCACTGTCGGGGCCAGCAGGAACCTGTCTTTGCTGCTGCTCCTCTTCCACTGTCCCCTTTGCTTCCCCTCCTGCCCTGATTTCTGATATACTTCATTTCCGATACAGTATTTTCTGGGAAACCTCTGTGCTGTTGCAAGTAATGTTGTTGCATGTTTCCTTTCATCAGGAGTTAGATCTCTGGGACATAAGCATGTTCAGGTATAGTAAAGCAGCTGTAAAGTTTTGGGAATCTCTTGCATATCAAAATGGGATTTGCTGTTCCCCCCATGGGAACTAGCTGCCATGCAGGAGGTGCCATGCAGTGCCCACACATTGCTAGCCAAACCTTTTCTTCCAAGTATAAAAATCTGCCTACAGAGCTACGCTTTTCCAGGAAAGCAGTTCCCTGTTTGGGCGGAACGAAGAATTCTCTAGGAGATGCTGTCAATTTACTGTGTTTTAATTTTCACTGTAAATGAATATGAAGCAAAACTAGAAGCATACACCTTGCAACATGCTTAAGCAAAAGTCTTCTTTCCTTGCGGGTTTCTCCCTTAATGCTTGGAGTGTGCATGACCGGCAAGAACAACAGTTGCTGTGAGAGCACGGGGCTGCAGAGAGGCTAAACATGGACCCGTGTGTGTCAGGGCACCCCGGGATAGCTGCTGCACCACCCGCTGCACTGCCATAAAACTGCTGCTCTCTTTGCAGTTGGGTGGCCAGCGTTTTGCACAAACACCAGCCTAAAGGCAAAAGCATGGGCAGGTTTCCTGACTGCTAATCCAACACCTTACTAAGGATTTCCACGATTCGCTCTTGCACTTGGCCTCTGCCACTTTGCTTGCCCTTCCACCATCATCCTGTGAAAGAAGCTTTAGCAAGACAGTGATGTACTAGCTGTACAGAGAGTAAAAGATGTCTTGGTGGGAGCTCCCTCATTCCAACAAACAGAACAATTCAGAAAAAAATAGATAGGGTATTAAATTGCATTAAAGATATTAAACTGTATTAAGAAAGGTATTTACAGATAGATTTATCAGTCTATAGATAGTCATTGATAGTCATAGTATATTGATAGAAAATATCATTGAAAATAATGGATAAATATGAAGAAGAAGAAACAAATGGCATTATTTCCTTCCTCATCTGAAGGATGTGTGGAAAAAATATTAAAATTACAATTAAAAATCAATATAAAATTCACAAAGGAAAATATGTTGATATAACACATCACTAGCCTATGGAATAGCGTGAGTTCCTCAGAGCATGCATCATCATCTCTGCTTTGCAAGATACATTCTGTCCTAATTCCCATTTGATGCAGTTCTGGGGTGTTGCTGTTGATTTTCAAGGCCATGGCTGAACGAGGACCTAGCTAAATGTCCTTGCTTATGAGGACAGAGAAGCTCTCCCAGGATGATGCAGCTATGAGCTGCAGTGACATTCATGAGGACTAAGGTTTGGATTTTCAGGCCAAGTGGATTGATAAGGCAGGGAATAATCATGAGAAGACTATACTGAACTGCAGTGTGAACTGCTTGGTTATGGTTCCCAACTGTAAATGACTTGGAGGAAATCAAACCATTGAGCGGCTCAACAAGGTGAGTGCCTAAAGAGCTGAGGAGCAGGAAGCCATCAGGCACTCCACACAATTGTGGTGCAGACATTTTCTCCTGCAAAGCACTTGGATTCTAAGGAAGCAAGTTGTATAAATGGTAGATAAAATGCAAATTTGCATACATAATAAAATTACCACTATTTGTAACAAAAAGGAATAGGTATTAATTTTCAGCCTATGGAATAAACAAAGGAATTCACCATGATCTGAACAGATTCCTCAATAATTAGCATTATCTCCTAGAAAAGAGCTCTCCAAAGTGCTATGGTGTCTAAAGAGCAGGAGCCCTGCAGAAAGTCCATGTGATATATGGAATTCATTCATTTCCCATTTTAACACCTATGTAATGGGGAGGGAGGTGACCATCCTCTGGAGGTACTTATCTCTTTCCAATAAATATAGTGCTTGGACTAGACGTGACATTTTAAATTGGTGAAGTGTGGCAAGATGAGCCCCACCTTCAGTAACCTTAGGAAATCACATCTTAATTGGATTGGAAATTTGGTAATTGCTTACTGGTGCTAATAGCTGTTGACATCTTGCTATGAGCCTGAGAAGGCTTCTGGTCTGACTGCATGTGTCAAACCCCATGATTTTATGTTGGGCTTTGAGAGCCACAGACAGCTGCTAAAGAACCCCTGTTTTAGCTGATTTGGTCCATAGCCCACGTATGTGAAGCTTTAGATACGTTATGATCAGAATTGATCTGTTTAGCTCAGAAACATAAGTTTTCCTTATTTTTCTCAGTGCTTTTCAGTGATTTCTTTCTCTACTCATCATTTTTCCCCCCTAGAACATGAAGTTTGTCATCAGCTATAGATGCTTTTAGAGCTACTAAATTTTTCATGAACGAGGCTGTTTACAGACATAGTGACTAAAAAATACCAGATATAGAAAGCCATTCAGGCAGACTCCAAGAGGAAAAAAAAAAAAAAAAGGTACCTTTCTACTTTGCTGCAGAGAACAGCACTGAAATATTTAAGCTGACTGCTACTAGACCCTCAGATGGAGAAGAAAAAGTTCAGCTCAGTACTGTGTCAGGATATCAGCCTGGTCCCAAAATCAGTGCTCTCATGTTACAGCACTAGTTGCCTCCCAATCTATTTAGCTGAAGATTGCCCAGATAAAATGATTCTGCCTCTGCCCTGCAGATAGTTGTCAATAGCTTGGCTCACTGAGACCTAGACTATATGCTAAAACCTAGAGAGTGTATATATTCATGATGTTTTTAAAAAAATTTCTATAGGTTTTCTTAAAAAAAAAAAAAAGAAGAGAAAAAAGAAAAAAGGGAGGAAAAAAAAAGAAAAAAAGGCATTTGTGATTGCTTTGTCTGATAGTATGTCTGTTAGTCCCTTTTTCAATAATTCTGGTGCCTTTACTTTCAATCTAATCTGAGAGCGAGAGAGGTCTCATATATTGGAAATTCCTACATGCTTTGTGAAGATTGATGATTTTATTGAACAGACAGAACTAATAAAATCTTTATTAGTCTGCTTCTCACAGAATACTTTATTTAGTGAAGAGACCTTTAGAGCGAATTAAAACCCAAATCTATCATTTTGAGCATTCATTTGAGCCCATTAAACGAAGCAATTTGCAAGATGAAATGCAAAAGCATTTATATTATTATTCATTATTGTTTGGACTCCCATCTGTTTCTAACTCCCAAAAGCCAATATGAAAATACACTATTCTTTTTGTTACCAGTATGCAGTCTATTTCACTTCCACATATTCTGAAAGCATTTGCTCTTCCTGAACCAAAATAAATAGGTAACATTCACGGTTGAAATCAGTTTCTCTGAATTCAGATTTTAGCACCAAAGTGAAGCATGACTGGCAGTTTGTTCAAGTTAGTTTAATTATCTTAGTTTTCACTGGTGATTCTTTTTACAGAATTGCTACCAAATAAATTAATATTTTATAATCACTTTATAATCATTTTAACTCTGTCTTTTTAGAGATGTCTATATGGGTGAGAACTACTTACGATAAAATAGATTATTTTGTGCACAAACATCTTTCACAAACTGTTCTCCATGTGAACAGTTCAGAATGCTGGCACATAGGAGCAATATCTCAGTTACCTCGTTTCTAATGTGCACAGCAGGGGAAAACTGGTGAAAGTTTTCTGATTCTGCATCTGGTTTTACCATGTCCATGACTTGATAGGAACAAGTTACTTTAAAGAAATTTGTCTCGTCTATTAACTGGACGAAAGTAATTCTGATTTTCTTCCCCAAGCCTTGGACAATAGTCAGATCAGCCTGGAGAGAGAGGCCCACAGAAATTAGAAAATGACTCAGAAATTTAGAGGTAGTGAAGATTTATATAAGGTTCTGCTCTTCACTGTGAATTCTTAAATTTGCTGTGAGAATTTATTATTTATGCATTGGATACTGTTAAGGTGGGTGACTTACGCAGGTAACTGTGCTGTAGAATACTGTGGATTTCTGTGGAAGGAAAATCATCTTTAATGTAGTCATATGATACAGTCATAAAGGGGAAAGAATATGTATGTATTCTTCATATCCTTGCATTAGGTATAAAGCATTTTGTCATGAAAACAAACTACAACTGTTCCTTGTAGTTTGATCCTGATCCCTGTTCCTCTTAAGCCAAACTGCTTAAGGGGAATTAGGATTCTTTTAGTGCAATACTGGGCCTCTGTATCCGAACCAAACCACAGTTAAAATATGTTTTAAAAATTGATACAAACTTTTATGGACACGTCTACATCCAACCAAGTGAAAAAAAAGGGCAATATTCTTTGCTCTGGATCGGGATACAACTGATTTTAAAGATTTGTCTCCTCTACTGCCTAATCTAGCCTCGCAATGATAAAGTTATTGCTCTGTCAGAAGTGCTCCTTCCAGTCTGATGTTCCAAACTGAAGCTCTGAAATGATCATATTTAAAATGACCATCCCTAAAAGCGTATGTATGTTTTTACCCTGGACTTTTTTTCACAAGTGAGGTTTAGTGCATAGTCCTGCACTTTGTTAAGCAAATAATTGTATTTGTTACATTCCGGGGACTTTTTTTTCCAAACAGAAAACAATGTTCAAAACTGGAGAAATGGAAGAAAACAGGGAAATGTTTACCGAGTGAAAGCCACTTGGAGAGGCACAATGAATATGAAAGAAAGCAGTATAAGAATAATAACTACTTTGTGCTTCTAATACTTTTGCTAGAAATATTAACTGTTGCTATAATGCCCAATGGAATGGAAAAATGTAAATTTTGTGACTGATTCCTGCACTATGAAATTATATATCACAGGTGATAAATTTGGCATTTTCTCTGAATTATATGTCTATTATATGCCTTTTCCATTGAATTCTATTATTTCCAGAATGTGGTCATGTAACATTTCTATATCACTTTAATGTGAAAATCGTAAAGTAACTCAAAGTAAGATAAACTAATGAGCTCAAGACCATTTGGCACCTTTTTGATGTCAGTATAAATTCTGGAGTTTCTCTTTCTTTGCCTGAATCACATATTTATAAGATCTGATACTGTGTCCCTTGACCTTGCTCAATTATTCCTTCAAAGATCAAAGAAACCGTATAAGATTGATCTCTCTTCTCTAGAGAAATTTGGCAGGGGAAGTTTAACTCTTTGATAAGGTAATCTTTTCCTTATTTACCTTTTTAATGCCAATTAAGTTCAATCAGCATTCCTATAAAACAGATTCAAGTAGGCTTTCCAAGGCACTTCCTTCCATTGACTGGGTTTTACTTATAGGGCTAGCAACATGATATTCTTGTTTATCCTTCAGCAATCTACAGAGGGGAGATATTGTTCAAGTTCTTCAGAAGGAAGTTAACTATTAGCATCTTTAGCCATCATTAGACCCAAGGCTCTTCTTCCCTCTCCTTGCTCTGAGTTAAGTTTCCTCACATGTTTTAAAAAAGTGTTTTTTAGGGTCTTTTGTAATTCACAGGTCATCAGCTGCCCTCACCTGTGCAATCATTTTTGCAACTGCTCACCTTGGATTTTTAAAAAGTAAGCAGTTGGAGCCCTCATGCATTCTCAAGGTAATATTAGGCAAAGCAGATCAGGTCTGATGTTTGTGGGGAGGAGTTGTGCGTGGACCGTGCACGCTGGTTTCCTTCCCACCTTGCTCCGCTTCTTTGAAGTGTCAGAACAAATGTTTCTTTATCTGCCTCCTAGTTTGCCTAAGTGCTGGGCTTGTACCAGCTTCCTTTTAGCATTTGAGTTACAGCAGAAGAAGGAGCGTAAGTCAAGAAATGAGGGCATCATTCACCCTGCAGTAAATGCATGAGGTGAGTTATTAGTGTAGCCACTGGCATTGTGCCTGGGTGGCTTTTATCTAGACCATGGGCATGATTAATGCTCAGAATTCAGACCACTTTTAATTATAATTTTTAAAAGAAAGAGCAGGAAAAACATGCAGATGTATCATTGTTCACTGCTTTGAGATGCTGTCTGAAAAGGATCTGTAGCAGGAAAACACCTTGGGGAATAAGAGAGATCCCAGAAGAAAAGCTCTAGCCAGGCTGGTGAAATCCTGCCACAGAGAAGGGCTCAGCCTCGGGTATCTGCTTGCTGAGGAACACAGCGGGAGGAAAAAAAGCTGCCATTTCCCGCTGACACTTGGACTAAACCACGACCGTTGCGTTGCCGCTCGGCCAACGGTCCCCGCGGCTACCGACCGTTCAGGGCGGAGCCTTGGCCCCGCCCCTGCCCGGCGCTGCTCGCCCCATTGGTGACGTGGCGAGCGCCGCCCTCTGGCGCCCAATCAGCGCTTTGCGTCCGTTGCTAGGGCCGTTTCTGAGGGCGGGCGCGGGGCCGCCATGGCGCGGCCGTGGCGGGACGTGGCCGGCGTGCGCGTGGAGCCGGCCGAGCTGCGCTTCCCGTGCGCGGTGCCCGGGCGCCGCTACCGCGCCGCGCTCAGCGTGCACAACCGGCGCGGGGCGAGCTGCCGCCTCCAGCTGCTGCCGCCGCGGCGGCCCCAGGTGAGGGGCGGCCGCGAGGGGCCAGAGGGCAGCGCCCCCGGCTCCCCGGCCTTCCCGCACCGGCTGCCCCTGGTGCTTGAGAGACCCCCGGGGTGGCATCCGGCCCTGCTCGGATGTGATTTGTGCGATCTTTTCTTTCCTGATGTGCAGGGGCAGCTTTGCCTGCTTAGGTTGGCACTTTAAAGAGGTGCGGGTAGATGTATGGCTTGTGTGTGCTGCGCCGCTGCAAGTGGGAAATGCCACCGAGGAAGCTGGATTGCTTGTGAAACTCATTGGTTTTAGCAAGGGGAGCTGGAGATGAGCTTAGTAACTGATAGGGTGGGAAGGGTGAGAGGCAATATCCAAGTGGCTTCTTGTGTGATAGTGTTTGAAGAAGGGAATGAGTGCCTTAATGCACTTTTTATTGGAAAGCATTTCTGTGAAACCAGGAAAATAGCTGCTGTAAGTCAGATGAAACATTCCCAGGTCTCTTGTTTTCTTGAGATTATGAGCAATCTGAAGAGATCTTGTTCTCCTAAATCATTAAGTCCATAGTCTAAGTAGAAGTAATTTAATAGTTAAGAGCTCCTTCCATGTCTGACTAGTCAAGCCCCTTGTTGCTATGAACCCTGGTTAGCTTGCCTGAGCTAATGTTGTTCTATCTGGAAATGTTACTCCTTGAGATACTCATGAGTTCCACTGTGTTGTAGTTGCGTTGTAGGTCTGGGAGGGCCATGTAGACACGGATCATTTTGCAGTAGGTGTGAGCAGCAAGTGTATAAGTGTGCCTGAGCAGCTGGAGGATGCAACTTTAGTCATTGTCTTCGCTAGAATTTCCCCAGTGCTGATTCCTAGCTCTGTTACCCAATACCTGTATTGTATTCTAAGTTTTATTGAGGATAGCATTACTTTTATTTTACTTGCTTGCAGAAGGCTTTCTTAGAGGGTTTAATAATCTTTCTCAAGATAGCATGATTCTGGATTCATTGGATTAGTCTGAAAGCAACATTTCACAGTTGGACTTTTAAAAGGCAATTTTTCTTTCCAGTTCTAAGCAATTTGGCTCTTGACTTGTAACCTGTATAGTCCCAACAAAGCCTGGCTGTGGTTAAAAGCTTTATATTGGTCTTTCATTGAGCAAGATTTTATCTGTTAATAGCTTTCAGTATTCGGATCAAAGCCTTGGACTGGCTTTGGGAGTTGAATGGAAGCTGGTGTTGCTTTCGGTCTTAGCAACTTGAGCTACGAATTGCTAGACTCTGAATTTAGTCATCAAAACTATAGTGTGGTTTTCACTACCTGAATAGTCGAACTCCTGTTTTGTAGAAGAAAATTGGCTAAGACTGTGTATGCATTTTATTTTTCTCTAAAGCTAGAAAACTTGCCTGCTTTATACAGTCTGTTTTTTATGGTGGCACTGAAGAATTCTGCCGTGGAGCGGAGGCTGTTGTGGGTGCCCGGTTCAGCAGACCTGCGCTTATTCTTCAGTTGGTTAGTTTTCCTCAGCCTTATTTGTCGGTTTTCCTTCTATGTCAGAAGTGGAGAGGCAGAATCAAATTTAGAGAAAAGATTACTCAGCTATCCTGTTTGAATATAGTGCCTCTGTAAGTAGATATGGGGATTTGTGCCTTATGCTGAGCATTTTAAAGGCATTAGGCATGGAGGGTCAGTTGTGGGGTCCTACTTTACATAGTCACCTCCATAAAGCTGCTCTTAAGTCATTCCCAGACCTTCTACTTAGTGTGTGTCTGTGTGTGTTTATGGCCCTGAAGTGTGTGACTTTTAGCTGGAAACTGTGTTAGGCATTATATTCACAGAAGGCAAGACCTGAAAAATGACCTTCCTTGAGCCATCACAGTGGATGGTTAAGTAATGTGTTTCAAGGATCTCGGTCCACAAAGCAGTTTTTAACAGATTTCCTAAAGTTATTAAACACTTTGTCTATTTTCCCATACAGAGAATGAATGTGCATGGCTGTTTATTTTTAGAGGAGAGTTGAACTCATGACTCCTTGCAGCCCTGTCAAAAACTATCCCATAGTTCTGGTGCGTAATACATGACAGGTTTCCTTTAGCAGAACATTCATATATTATACTATTTATAAACTGTGACACTTTTAGAGGAACAGAAGATGACACAATGGACAACTAGCATGTTGTCTGTTTTCACTGTTCTAACTTGTATCTGGCATTTGAACTTAAAGACGATCAGGATGCCCCTTTTTTCAGAAGTAAACTTCAACTGAACTAAAACTGACTGACATCCGTAGTAGAAACCTGTTATGCATAGGATGTGAACTGAAGGAGACAGATACCGGAGACTATCTAGACCTTGTTATGAAGCTTAGGAAGAGGGGAGCTGCTGCCTGCTTACTACATGCTGGAGCTTTCCTCACACGTTGCTTTCTTGAGGAAAGATGGAGAGAGAGCCAGGGAGTGCTGAATATAGCCAGAAGACAAACAACAAATGATTCAGGTTTAATTAAAAAAAAAAAAAAAGGAGGGGAGGAGAGAGGAAAAAGATGCCTTGGGCCTTCACTGTTTCTCTCTCGCTATAACATTCTCTCTTTTCCCTATAAACATGGGACCTTTCAGGCATATTTTTGTATTTTCAGTGTGCCTTTCAGTGAACTGTGTTGAACTTCCTGCAGACTCCAGCTGAAGAGGGACCGCATGAACAGGAAAATTCTTATATTGCCTCTTTTTTTTGCTAGTTTTGGATTGAGACTTAAACCTTAATACTTTCTCGGATATTATTTAATGGAGAATATTTTTAATAACTGACTTCCGTTTCAGGAGGTTAATGGCAGCAGTATCCAAATCCAGAGCTCTCTTGGAAGGACTATGGCTTGTTTTTTTGTAATTTGTAATTACAAAATGGTAATTACAAAATTGTAATTTGTGTTTCTTTTTAATTTTGTATGTTGTAATTTGTTAAATCAACAGTTCCATGTAATTTCATGATTTAGTGTTCATTATGTCTTCCTGTGTTGCTGTAAAAAGTCTAGCCTTTGGTAAACAAGGAGAGGACTTTATTAAAAATTCTTGCATATTTTTAAAAGAATTGTAAATTTAAAATCGATCTGTATACCTTATGCCTAGTCTTTTTAATCTGGAAATATTTTAAAATTAATATATATATATATATTTTTAATTGTAGTTTAAACTGATTGTGGAAAATCCGGGAAGGCCTGTTGCATCTGGACTTAAAGTTACAGCTATTGTGGAATATTATCCTGACAGTGAAGAGGACCTTCATGATAGACTGCTTCTTTTGATAGAAGAAGACATAGTTGATATCCCTCTACTTGGGTATGACAGGCAAATTCCTTATGTTGCTGTTGCTATTTTTGGTTTAATCTTGTGGAAAGTGTGTCAACTCACGTCACATATCGTTAGGTAACTAATCTGTCAGCTGCAGTGAAGGCACCTGTGAGTCCCTTTAGAAGAGTAACTTTTTTATGAGAGTAGACAGGCATAAGAAATTAATCATCCTCATATCTAAATTCCTAGAGTTTTGAGATTCCTGCCTTTACTCTTTATTGGAAATGATAACTGATAATTTCTAATCCTGGGTCAGCATTAGACAAGTTAATCTCTTTTTCATCTCTACCCTCTGTACAAAGTCATTTGCATAAAAGGTATTTAGTAACTGTCCATATATACAGAACTGAATTGTAGTAAAGAGTATGTTGCTTAATTCTTAAAAAATGATATGTACAGTTTACAATAAGGTCACAAATTCATTTTTGTCAAGCTCTGTGTGTGTATTTGTATGTATGTCTCTATGTTATATCTAACCCCTATATTGGTAAGCTTCTAAATATAATTTTAATGGTAAGTTTCAGCATTAAAGGCATACAGGATGTACTTCAGGTCCCTTCATTCTTGGTGTTTAAAAGGTAGAGATCTAAACCTACACTGCTCACCCTATTAAAATTTTCTCTGGAGTTGCTCATGTGGCTTATTTTAGAGTGTATCAATCAATCAATCCAACTGCCATTTTACTTTTAAAGATTGTATTGAATTGATTGTATTGAAATAAATTTTCTTCCTAAAAATTAACTGTCAGTTTAGAAAGAAAGCATGAGAGGCTTTAACCTTTTGCTAGCAATTTGTGCAATGTAACTTCCGTTACATTTACCTACTTATTTTAAAAAGTCTGGGAAGTGATTTATCTGGAACGTAGGAAAAGCTACTTTCCATACAGCATTAAACTGCAATATCACTTATTCTTGTAACCATTTATTTGTTAGAAATGTCACCAGAAGTATTCAGTTTCTCTTGTGCTTCAGTGACTTTAATATCACAGTTGTTTGCTTTGCAAGTAAAATTATTTTTCAAGTATCTACGTGGCACATGTGACACTAATACTGCTGATTTATCTCTGTGATTTGTCTCATATATTTCCTACCAGTTTTGGAGGCCACCTGATGTGCTTAGTTGCAGGAATCATAGGGCGGATGACTCTGTCCCTTCATCCAGGTCACCAATGAGTAACTTGAACAATATTGCACCCAGTGCTGACCCTTGGGTTGTGCCACTAGCTACAGGCTTCCAGCCAGAGCTAGTGCCACTGATCACGACCCTCTGCCGCTCACCCCGGCCTCACTGTCCACTCATTTCTCCTGCGCTTCCTGAGCTTGCCAATGAAGATGTTATGGGCGACAGTGTCAGAAGTCTTCCAGAAGTCAAAACTGAAGCAAAGAAGGTGTTCAGTCTCTCTGCCTTTCCCGTATCCTTCATCACCAGAGTCCCTGCTCCATTCTGCAGCACGTCCACATTTTCCCTAGTCTTTTTTTAAATTTTTATTTTATTTTATTTTTTTTTAAGTGATGTATTGGAGGGGAAGCCTTTCTTGCTGTCCTTGACAACCCTGTCCAGATTCAATGGACCCTGGCCTTCCTAGTCCCATCCCTGAATATTCCAGCGTTGTTCTTATATTGCTTCTAGGAGACATGTCCTTTTCTTCCACCTTCTCTCTGCTTGCTGCTTCTGTTTCAGGGGTTCCTTGTTCATCAATGTAGGTCTTCAGCCCCCTTTTCTAGATTTCTTGCTCCTTGGGACACACCAATCTTGAGTTTGGAGAAGGTGACTCTTGAATATTAACCACCTCTCTTAGACTACTCTTCCTTCTATGGCATTATCTCCTGGGATTCTTCCAAGCGAGTCACTGACAAGGCAAGAGCTTGAGCTTCTGAAGTGTTGTGATGCCACTTGCTTTCTCCTTGTAAGATTCTGAACTCCACCATCTCATGGTCACCGCACCTAATGTTGCCCCCAGCCTTCACTTCTCTAACCAGTTCTCCTTTGTTTGTTAGTACAGGATTCAGCAGCACCCCGCTCCTTGTTGGCTCCATCATCTGTGTCAAAATTCTGCCATTAAAGCTTCCCAGGATTTCTTGTGCCTTGCTGTGTTATTCTTCCAGCAGATAGTAAGGTAGTTAAAGTCCCCCATGAGAAACAGGGCTGTGGTCATAAGGCCGCTTCCAGCTGTCTGTAGAAGGTCTCATCTGCTAACAGGTGGCCTACAGCAAACATCCACAACAGTCACCCGTGTTGGTCCTTAATCTTTGCTCATAAACTCTCAACCTGGTCACCATCCACCCTTAGGACCAGTTCAATACATTCCCATTGCGCTCTCTCATAAATGGCAGCTTCCTCACCTTACCTTTTTGGCCTGCCATTCCTATAGAGTCTGTAGACATCCATAGCAGCATATATATATATTTCTATTTATGAAATATCTTGTACAGGTGGGGTCTGGCTTTGGCCAGAAAGATTTATCTTCTTCATCACCTTAATGTTGCATGGAATCCAGATCGTAAGATGCAACTGACCCACAAAACTATTAGACTGTCTCCTTTCTTGTCCAGTCTGTGTTTGTGTCTTCTCTGCTACATGAAATACCACTTAAAGTGGCTTTTTAAAATGATGCTACATGAAAGAGGGAAACAGACCTCTGAAGAGGTCCTTTCTAGTTCAGTATAGATTGAAATCAAAACAATGTAAAACTAGAGACATGAAAATGCAGTATTTTGAAATATATGGGAAGTATAATCTTTCAGCTGTTTGATAAGCTAAATTAATTCTTAGGTTCATTTTGCCATCCTTTTTAGCATTCTCATTAAACCAAACCTGCAGATTTTTATTGATAGATGCAATCTTATAACAATTCAAAAAATCAGATTCCAGGTTGAACTGGATGTGAGCATCTTTTCCAGGTCTGGAGCTGAAGCAACAAAACAGATGTTTGGGGATTGGAGAAAACTGCTCCTAATAGGTGCTGATCTAGATACTATGTTACCGTTGCCCACAAAACTTGCTTTTCTTCACCTAGTCTTAAAATGAGATCATTCTAAACAGCTGAAAGTTGGAGTATCAGAGCAAGGAATATGAAAACAGAATTCTTTGCTATTTAAGTTTCATTGCAAATGTAGTACATTTGTATTATTCTGCCTGTTCAGAGGCTTAAAGAACACTGCTGTATCAGGCTATATTTTGTTGTAGTGAAATGAGAATTTAGGACCTTCAAGAAAGCCCTAGTTTTCCAAAGCAAGTGTAAGGTTTTCATTAGGGCCATGCAGCACCCCATACAGTGAAGTCCTTGTCTTGGCAGAAGCACTTAAACAATACTAGTAACTTGGTCGTTATCCACCTCTACTTGGTAAAATACATTTTGCCAAAACCACAGAAGGCATTTATAATCTGAGACTGTTAACTGAAAATGACATACATTTTTTCCCTCTAATTTCAGTTGAGACAGCTGATAAGTAGAGTCAACATTTAGCAGATTTTATTATTTTGTGCTGCAGTTAACGCAAGATAATAGCTTTTAAAATACTCTGTTCAAGTTCTTGTACTATGATAATACATTGTAGTAATTGGAATGTGTATGTTCCTGTTTACATTTTATTTTAGCTAATTACTTAAAGCTAAATTGTTTTAAAGTTACGCAAATCAGTTGTGGTATTCAAGTAGACAGATTGACAGATCTGTTTTATAAATACTGTGTACTGTACTGCTGAAGTGAGTTGCATAAATATTCAATTATTAGGAGAACTGGAACTGTATTTCCAAAATACATTTGGAAAAATCCAAATGTATTTTTCAAGTTTTGGAGAAAGTACAGCCCTGTCTCTTTTCTTTGCAGATTAGTTCCATGCTGTTATCTGGAAATTGAGCCTGAGATTAATTTTGGTACAGTGACTGTAAACAGTAAAATAATTAATAAACAGATTAGCATTACTAACCATGGATCATCTCCAGGTAAATATTTATTGTATGTTAACTTATACAAAGGTTTAATTTTCTTGGGAAAAAATAATTACACGAGTTAACACTTCAGTGACCAAGTAATTGAGGATCCTGTGCAGCAAAAAAATTAACTGAAGCTATGGGTTTTGCATATGCAGTATTGTAGTTTATAGCTTTGCAAAAGATCTTCAACTTAGGTTGAATACTGCATTAATTAAGTAGGTGAATACTGCATTAATGCTTTGGGAAGAAAAATGAATGTAGAACTTTGAGCTCCAGGAGTGCTCTACTTTGGAATCCCGTCTGAAAGTTGTAAAACTAATGAATGTCCTTTAGATTGCAACACCCAGCACATATCATGGCAAATCATGTCTGCTTTTGCTTTGTTGACTTTGTTTTGATTCTGTGGCCCCATTAGTTGTCTATTGATTAAACAAATTCAGCTCTCTGGCCTTTAAGAGCTTAATTAATTAAAAACATCTAGGTGTCCCTGTTGGAGCAGGGAGATTGGACTGGATGATCTCTAGAGGTCCCTTCCAACCTCAACCACTCTGTGAGTTCCTTGGAATTAACTGTATATGTTACCAAAATAGGGGGTCTTTCTCCTTGCCACAATGGTTTTAAAATGATACAGCTTTCAAAGCTGTATCCTTCAATTTGTCTGAGGGACTCTTCTAAAGAGGGTGAAAAATGTGGAGAATGCTGTATAGGAATACTCAAATTTGAACTTAATTTATGTGATCAATATTGGTATTTTGAAAAAGGTGGATTGGTTACTAAGTCTATTAATTCACTCCATTTGTGAATTCACAATAAACCAACCCTGTCCCTTTCCTGGAGCTGGTTTAAGAGAGAAAAGAGCATAGTTTGAACTATGTTAACACCATATGAAATTTGTGAGAGTTTATGAATGCATGAAATTTCATGTATACCTGTAAAGTAGAGCAAGTTGAAACACTGACAAACTTTACAAGCCTCCAGCTATTGTTGGGAGGCTAAAAACAAACTACGTAATTCGTTTGCTTAATCCTAGAATGGAATATTTCACTAGCCAAAACATTTTAAAAAACTTTTTGATGTTTTTTTCCTCCAGAAAGCATATCCTTTTAAAGGGAAAAAAAAGTGTTTTATAGCTGGTTCCCTTAAAGATGTGGTATGTGGTTTATATTACCAGCCATTAGTCATGCATACTAATTTCTTGCTTAGAGCAGTGATTAGATACCTACATTTCAAATCTTATCCCTTGCACAAAGTCCAAGCACTTTGATTCTGCCTATTATTAAAGATTATCTACTGTCTGAAGTAAAACAGTACTTGTTTCTTATACTTGTTAAAATATTTCTTCCTACCCATGATATGATGATAGATAATGTTGCTGATGAGACACACTTACGTTTTTTTTTCACATTTTAAAAAAATCCTTAAAATAACATCCTGCGGAGATTCAACATTCTCATTTGCAATATTTTATCTTGTATGTTTTAAAGTTGTGAAAATTACCAGTTACTTTGCAGGTAACAGACCTCTTATTAGGTGTTTGCCTAACTTTCTGGCTACTGTAGTTGCCCAGAGCTGTGTATAAAATACATTGTGCTTTATAAAATGCTGCAGGTTCTTTATGATATCATCAGTTTGATTTGGAGGATGATTACCTGTTGCGATGAGCTGTTACAATGATAACTTGTCTAGTGGCATCAGACATGTGAATGTAGTGTTTAGAGACACTCTAGAAACTCAAACAGGTTTCTTTTCTGGAGGCACTCCATCTTTCCTATTTCCAATACTCTGTTTCCATAGGAATATCTGCATTTGTTGAGTTCTAAGTAGTGTAATTTTTTAATTTCTTTTTTCTTTTAAGGTACATTTAAGCTATCATATGATGGGGTTGTCCTAGTTAACATAGAACCTACCAGTGGAGTTGTAGAGCCGAAAACTGTAAAGATGATTGATGTGGGCATCTGCACAGATGTGCCAAGAATCATCAACGAAGTGATAAAGTAAGTTGGTGTGTAGTTGCATAAATCCAGCTCTATAAACTTATTTCGTTTGTTTATTTATGTCTGGTATTGATTCTAAAGTCTTTATTATGGATATGCTTATCCAAAGAAGTTCCTAGGTGAGTTGTTGTCTTCCCTATTTATTTTCATTAAAATAAATTGCTGATTATATTATCTTCACAGCACAATCATATATAAATGATGTACCTGGTTGCTTTAGTAAAGATCTTTCATAATATGGATGTATGCACCTCTCTAAGTATACATTTGGGATCATGCAAAACAAGATTTTTTTTCTTTTGTGTTCAGAAGCTCTCAAAAAAGATGGTTCATTCTATTAGAACAGTATAGTACATTCCTAGATTCTTTTGTGCAACAAGAATAAAGTAGCTCTTTTAAGCAGAATTCTAAAAACTAATATTTGTACAAGGTCTATTTGGTCCTGTGACGTTTTGAGGCATCATCAAGTTCAAGCAGTTGAGCAGGAACAGCCACAGTTCTGTGCTTATTCAGGGGAACTTCTGGTTCCATTTGTCTGAGGAAAAATTACAGACTACTCAACAGAAGTGAGAGTCTGATGTAGAGGTTCAAAAAAAAATACTATTTCCAAGAAAAACAACCTGCCCCTGCAGAAGCAGCAGACATCATGTGATTCTTCCAGCTCTAGTGTTTGGCTGGAAGAATCCATGCTTTTGCACAGCATGACTTTCTTGATCCATAGTATTTCTGTTAAGTATTGAATTGCCAAGTATGCTTATTTTTGTGCTTAACCTACCTATGGAAAGACAGTGATTTAGTTTAAATGCTCTGGTGTGATTCAGTTCTGTAGAGGTTATAGTATTAAAATAATTTGTTATTTTTATTCTAACTTTTTTGGTGTGTGTAACGTACTCTCCTATTCTTACTGACAGAGTGGAGCTAGAAGGACGCGACTGCGCAGAGACACGAATCAAAGCTGTTGTGGTTGAACAAGTTCTTAAAGTTCTAGGAGTGTCTCATGGAAATGAATTGAAATGCATTGATTTTGGATCTGTTTATTTTGGGTCCGCAAAGACTGAACAAGTATTTCTGTACAATAAAAGTCCAGAGTGTATGGACTGGGTAGCAGTGCTGGAGGACAATGCCACTGGAGAAGAAATGGTAAGAAAACTACCAGTCAATTTCACCAATTACCATTCAATTACTATTTCAATTAAATTAAAAAGGTTAATTAAAACCTAATTTAATTTAAAACTTTATTTCTACTTTGGTATTTTTGCTTCTCAGGATCCCTATCCTAGGATTGTTTATTGTGTGAAACCATTTCCTCATCATAGACTTACTGCAATTTCTTTAAAAAAACATTTTACTATAGTTTTACTCTGAATTATTTTTTTAGATATTGCTGTTTAACCATGTAATGTATCATTAGGCATGCTAAGTATGTTCCCATGTTAGTTGATGAATAGTTTCGTTTGACTTGCTGGTTTTGTCATCATGTAGTAGCAGTTACAAAAACAAATTTTGGTATTCCAGGGTGCTCAACACCAGCTGTTTTACTTGGTTTTCTTTAGTGATGAGTTGATCTGAGCAAGCATCAACTTTGCTTCAAAGAAACAAACAAGCAAAAACCCATCAAATACATTCAACATTAAATTGAAATTGAAAAATTAGCTGTGTAAGATTAAACTATCATATGTTAAAAGCAACACAGTGTTTTATTACTTGTATTATTATGTTTTTCTACTTGTTATACTTTCCTCAGCATGTGTGAGGACTGGCTGAACTGTCATATATTCCACCTTTATTTATTCATTCATTTATTTTTGTAGGGTACAGATCTTCAGAAGGCTACAGATGCACTTTTAGGAGACTTAAGTTTCATGAAAAGAACACGAGATGTGGATGTTTCCACCTTGATTTTGTGCATTCCCAATCAAGGAACCTTGCTGCCTTATCAGAAATCTGTGATTACGTTGTGTTTTAGTCCAACGTAAGTGCCTGATGCAAGTTTGAGCAACAGAAAAGTTAAACATCTAAAATATCCTATAAAAAGTTCTGTTAGAGCAAATCAATGTGTTTACAAACGTTTTTGAACAATTTTGCATTTACATGTGTTAAAGGAAATTTGTGCCATGATGCTTCAAATCAGAAAGTAAATGTAGTGACGTACTTATCTGAGAGAGTTTTTTTTTTTTTTTTTTTTTTTAATTAATTAAGGATATGTTTGAATAAGCTTGTTCTGGAAGAACTTAATTGGATTCTGCCAAAGGATCTAATTGCATCTCCTGTTGAATGTGTTGAATTTCTAAAGATTGATAAAGAGACTCCTATGGTATCAATTTAAGTATTCTTGCTCATTCTGCAGAATTATTTTTTTAAAATGTAGTATTTCTCTAAGTTTGGAAGAACAGATACTTTACTGCCAAGAGACTGAAATGGGTTGGAGAGCTATCATTATAACCAGCAACTCTTCCCTTCTTCCCCCCAAAAAAGGAGGAAAAGAAAAAAAAAAAAAAAAGGCTGTGCATGAAGGAATACTTCTGCTTCAGGCCAGAACAAGAGAACATGCTCTTTTCATTTTCCTTTAATTCTTACTTTTAAATTTGCTACTGTTCCGTTTTCTGAAAGATCGGTAAAGATCACATGCTTAAGCTGTAATAAGTACCAGGGTATCCAGTTTCAAAAAGGAAAAATAAACCTTGATTGTTAGAGGTTTTCTTTTTTTTCTTTTTTTGTCTTGTATGTCAAAAATGTGATTTTTGTAGGAAACTTGAAAGGGCCACTGGACTGGATGATTCATCAGCAAAACAGGATTATGTCCTGTTTCTGAGATTTGAGGCTGCTGGGAGTAAAGGTGGCTTTCTGCAGACCCCCAGCAATGATGATACACCGCTCAAAAGTATGTTAATGTGTTAACAGAAATACACTTTTAATGAACTTGTATCTTTAATGCCTTTGCATTAAAAAATGCTATGGTAACAGTAAATAGAAAGAAGAGGGAATCCTGCATGTCATGAATACATCTGCTGTCAGGGAAAGCCTAAAGCTTAATTATAAATGTAACTATTCAGTAAAAAGAGCTATCTGCCAGTCAGCAGTACTTTGATGCTGCATTTTCAAGTGAACGTCTCTGCTTCCTCCCTTTCCTTAGTAGAAGTGTGTACTATGTAGCAGGCGTTACGATTAAACACGAGTGTTCTAAGTTGATGGAAGATTGCACAATAAATCACGGCACTGTCTAACTTATTTTGTTTCTACAACCATATTGCTGCCTTAACGACTCTTCTGCTTGTAAGCTAATACGTGTGTGTATGTTTTTTTCCCTCCCTCCTCTTCCTTCTCTCTCGTTCTTTAATGCAGTGAATTATCCTCCTCACATGGAATTAGCTCTGATCGGTTCTGGGCTTCCCGTCATGTTAACTTTCAATCCAGGACCAGTTATAAATTTTACGGACTGCTTCTTGGGCGAACAAGTTGAAGTTCTTTGCAAAGTCAGGAATGAATCTGAGTCACTTCCCATAACTTTCATCTTCCGAAAGACTGCCCACTTCAATATTTCTCCTGAAAAGGGAAAAATTAAAAAACAATCTACAAAGGTAACCTACAACTTGCCTTTAGGCCATGTAGATGTGCAGATTCTATTACTCTACAGTAGACAATGGTAGATTTTTTTGAAAATACAAGTTCCTCCAAATATCTGCAAGATTGAATAATTTAGCCATGACCCTTAACTGAACCTCAATGTATAATTAGTTCTTACGTATGCAGAATCATTGTAGAGCTCTTTGTTGTATTTCAGGAAGTACCAAATATTATTTGAAATGAGGAAAAAAAAGTATAGTGTTAAGGAAATTTTACCCTGTTTTACCCTGTTTTTAAGCTTTAAATACTTGATGTATATTGACTTGAGAAGTAAGGTTTATGCACATAAGATGTGCACGTGTGGTAGGCTTAGTTTCAATTTTTTTAGTAAATCACAAATTTCTGAGTAACATATTTTTGGTTTTAGAGGTAATGTTATGTCAAATTTAAGTCAAATAAGAGGCATGTATAATTTCAATAACCTATAACTTAGAGTGCTGTGGAATAGAGTCCTTTGAGAAATAAGCAAGTAAGATTTTTTTGGTGTTCTAATGTATTGCAATTAAATCACTAATTTAATGTAGCAGTTGACATGTTTTAAAAATGAGTATTGAACAATTGTTTTAAAAATAACAAGAACCCTTTGTTCAGTAGGAATAAGCATTTATTTTTTTGATAATAGAGAACAGCACACATCTTTTTCTGTTTTCTCCTAATGTGTCTCAGCTGCCATTTTTTTTTTCCTCCCCCAGGAGGTGATATTTTCATTTTCTCCACGTCAGATTGGAGTATTTAAAAAGAAACAACTTGTTGATATCATTGGTTCAGGGCTAGAAGAAAATAATTCACAGATCCTGAAGACAAAATCCTTTCACCAAATACATTTGAAATTCATTGGTGTTTGCAAATCTAAATCAAAAACCATTCCATTTAAAAATTATTCTGGTAAGTTATTAAAAATAAAAGTTCTGAAAACCTTGTGCATATGTGATAGACAGTTGCTGGGGGAAAAAAAAGAAGGTATTCCTGCGTAAGATTTCTCTGAAATTTTTATATATTAGAAGATGAAGGATTCTCTTTTTATCAGTGATTGCCATTAGTGCTTATATGTTTGAGGTGCAAGTAGTGAGGGAGTTAAAGCACAAGAGAAAAAAAAAAGGGAATAGCTATCTATATATTTATTACCTATATAACTATAGCCATGGACTAAAGATTTAATGTAGTATTGAAGAGTTAGGTAGATTTGAAATATACCAATGAATCTAAATATGTGCATGTAATTCCTCGTTTTGTAGCAGCTCTATATTTTGTTTGTGTGTATATAAAACATGTGTTTTTGTATAATGTTACATAATATATATGTTTTTATATAAAATATATTTTTTATATAAAGTTTTTCAAATATTAAAGGGTTATTGACAGGATATCTTTTCTAGGTTTTAACTTTACTGATATTTCTTGATTTCTTTGTTACCCTTGATGATTGTCAGCTTTTCTTCCTTCTGCTCTTTGCTCTAACTTCTCCATCCTGCTCCTCCTTACAGCTGGTGGAGAGGTTAGGAGGGGCCTGTACTATAATCTGTATCTGTACTGTACAGGCTACGGATATCCATGTGCTGCTTCCCCATTTTACTGAAGTAAGGTGGGAGTCATGTGGCTCAGATCCTTATATAGATGGATTATTTGTTTTCTCCTTCTTTTCTCCCTGTGCCTGTGGTTGGGAACTTATATTTGCCCATATGTGTAGTTGGTGGTGGGAGGGGAGTGAGCCTCCCTGTGAACTGTTGCTTCCCTGAGCAGCTGAAGTTGCTTGCAACCACTTCTATGGTTAGAAGAATAGAAAGTAGTTTTGCTTGATTGTGCAAATCAAGGGCAATTTGCAGATAAGTAAACCAAGTGTATTTAGCTTGGCTTATGAAGTTCTTTTGGAAAAGTGTGGGAGAATGTAAAATAATGGATTGTTCTTTTTTTTTTTTTTTTTAAATTAACTCCTTTTAAATCCTTTTTAAAATCCTTTTAATTTTTCTTCAATTGTTTTTTTTTTTAAATTTGATTTGTCCCATGTGCACGTGCAAGTCCAAGCAGACCTGCAGTTTCGCTGCGCACTGGTGGACACAGCAGTGATGCCCTGGGTGCTTTTCTCTGTGAGCTGGTGATGTAGGCAAGTCAGTGTTGTTGTCCTTGGTCTGAATGCTTTTCTCCCTCCTGTTTAGGAAAAAGTAGTGGGGTGGATAGCTGTAACTGGGCTGCTGGGCTGACCATCATGGATCATCAGATACTTTTTTTGGAGCTAACATTTTGACATTCGTTTAGAAAGAATGTGTATAAGCGCATATAACGTGTTTTGTTTGAATTTTAAGGCATAATACCAATGATTTCCAATTCAACTGGGCAGTTTGTTCCTGATGACACAGGACAGCGCACTGATATTGCACCCATGGCAATGCTTAAATCAACCCAAACTCAAATTCATACTCACCAGATGAACCGGAATTGTAAGAATGATGCGCTTGTAGCTCTTCCCAATGACCGCTCAGCCAGCATCAGACCTTTCGAACGGCATAAAAAGTACAGGTAACAAATGATGAAAATACAGTATCTAAAAACAAATACTTATCCATAGAGGTAAATATCCCTACTTTATTATACTAGTAGATCAAGATCAATTACTCATATTGAATATTGAGTACTCAATTACCCTTCCTTTTTTAAATGCAGAATGGTTGACTTTGCCTTAGCCTTCTTGCATGTGCATTTCAAGCATCTCTTAGACATAGATTTCTTGAATTACTTTCTTGTGTGATACTCCAGATATAGCTTTTATAGTGTCTATTTTCCACTTTCTTAGCTTCCTTTGCAAGGTCAAATATTAATCAACTGTAATTTAAAAAAAAAGTGTGCAATGAAATATGTATGTAGCAAAATCATTCCAAATTACTCATTTTCATTCTAACAAGCACCAAAATCTTTTTATATGCATAATGAAACTACAATTCTATTTAAATATTTAGGACTATTTTCACAAAGACTGAGAGATACAATTATGTAGATCCACAGTTTTCTTACACTGACTTTGAACAGCTGGAAAAGGAAGCACATAAGGAATATTATACAGATTACATTTGTAAATTTAGACAGCGTCGCTTACAAAAAGATGCCTCTAGGTAAGAATTTTTTCCAAAATTTTAAACTTGTATGAAACGATATGCATACACATGAAGATTGACTTATTCTGGTTATCAATCATATACTTAAAATTAATCCCATACTCAAGTGGTTATTGCTTTGGGGCTTTAATGTATTGAAAAATCTTTTTGTCTGAATGTTTGTTTGGACACCTTTAGATCACTGACTGGGCAAATATATAAATTAGAAATTAGTGATGTCAGAAAGTAATGTGTGTAAACATTAGCAACCTTGTGTTCTGTAATGCCGATTTGGACAAGATCTGCCTCGATTTATTGTAGTGTGTTTACAAATAAATGGTTTTCTTGAAGCAAATTAGGATTGGGTAGTGGATGGGGCTGTTATTTATATGAATGCAACTTGCATATTTGACTGCAAGAATGGAAAGGAGAATATCATGGTTAGCAAATAAATTCTCTTGTTATGGAACAACATTTTCTGAGTACTGATTTTCTAAGTATTTGCTATGAAACATCTGGTAAGAAGTCTAAAGATTTCAGGTACAGCTGCAGGTGAAGTTGGTTGGAGTTGAACTCTAACCAAGTTAATTGTTAATTACTCTTGAAATAGGCAATAGGTCTATCCTATTTGGATATTTGGAATTAAAGATTACTTAGTAATATTGGCACTTTGATAACTTTTAAGTGTTTAACTTTTTTGTTTAAGATTTTTTTTAAAGATATTCTACAATATCAATGTCACAGTAGCCATATTTGCAACCCGTTTAGTCCTATTACAGGAAGCATCACCTTATGGTTATGCATATCCTATGCATATATATATATATATATATGCAACTGGTATTATTCCTTGCCTAAACAATGCAGTAAACACTTCTCAAGACACTTAATATACTTTTTTTTTGATAGTGAAATATATTTCAAGTCTTATTTAAACTATTTTTGATGTATTTTTTAAAAATAGATAATTTAATGTATACAACATAGAATGTCCGCATATCTACATTTCCATACTCTTTTTCATTTCCTTCTTGTAGGCAATTTGATGCTTATAATAATTCTGTAAACATAGGCCTTAAACCAGCAGATGGGCTTATTTCACCAACGATCTCAATCACAGATATTCGCAAGGAGGAGCCACAGCTCAAAATGCTTCCATCAGATGAAAATTGCTTATTAACTAGTCGAAAGTTGGAAGCAATTGGTTCTAAATCCTCAAACGAAGAAGTAAGTTAAATGCTTGAGCAGTAATATAAGCATAAGGTGATTACTGTGTAACAAAACATAAAAAAAATTGATCCTACTCTGACAAAATGGTTTGTTGTTACTGCAGATTTGGAATGGGCTTAATGCTGTGCCCATTTCTGCCCAAGAGAAGGAAGATTGTAGCTTGACTTTGACACCAAAGCAGCTTCATCAGATACACATTGGTAAGATCTTGCTTGGGTTACTAAAGGTGTGTAGTTGTTAAAGAAGTACTTATTTATAGTAGCACAGTTTATATTCATAATTGTTCACCTTAGGAATGAGCCTTAATTTGGTGGTTATTTAAAATCTGTGCTAATGTTTTAACTGCAGGCTTGTATTTATTTCAGAATATTTCAGAATATTTAAGGTTGGAAGGGACCTCTACAGATCATCTAGTCCAACCTTCCTGCTCAAGCAGGCACACCTACAGCATGTGGCACAGGGTGGCATCCAGGCGGGTTTTGAAGACCTCCAGAGTAGGAGACTCCACAACCCCCAAGGGCAGCCTGTTCCACTGCTCTGTTACCCTAACAGTAAAGAAGTTGCTCCTCACCTGGAGACGGAACTTCTTATGCTTCAGTTTGTGGCCATTACCCCTTGTCCTATCGCTGGCCACCAGTGAAAACAGCCTGTCCCCTTCCTCCCTGCATTCTCCCTTCCTGAACTTATACATATTAATCATATCCC